CCTGACGTCTCTCATACTAAGCAAATTGAATTTATTCTCCGCCTTGTCTACTATGGTATTGATAAAAGATGGGTACTTAAGAAGCGCTTTCTTAGGGTCAAAAAACTCGAAAAAAACTCGAAAGTATCTTTATGTTGGTATCGTTTGGTCTCGGTGCGATACCTTACGGTATCGATATCGATACTCGTATCAAAAATTTATGGGTTATGTTGGTATTGTTTGGTACCGATAGTATCAATTGGTATTGCAACTCGGGTCATTTTGTGAACTTCCATGTTATTTTTATAAACGATTAGTAATTTGAAATAGTAAGTTCGTATAATTAATTAGATACATAATGGCTCATTTATTATTTAAAAAATATTCTCTAAGCTGGTTGTATGACATCCTGTTTATCATTTAGTTTCTCATCTGGTATCTTTGTTTTAATTTAAATAGTTTTATCATTTATTTCTATATTAAATTTTTACAAATAATTATATTATGTTATACAGTGTGTAGGGGGCGAACAAAAAGGTAAGGCAGGGTGGTTGATATTCAGGTTAATGACCCCCTTCCCCTAAGAAATGTTAAACTACAAAATATTATTGATAAAATTAAAAAAATAAGTAAAAATACAAAAAACTAATATAACCATTCAATATATTTATTATTACTGACTATCTTATAACTTTTCTAAAATCATTCTAAACATCAAATGAAACAGGTATTTTATTTAAAAAAAAACGGGAACCTTATATTTCATTTTTTTTTTTTTTGTCCGACTACCCCCCTAGAACAATGACCTGGATCAGCCCCTGCAATGTGTAGTTTTCCATATCGTTATTCCAACTCTATCGAATTTTTATTCTATTCAAGAAAATATTTTCTGTTCGGAGTTAATCTCCAAGGAATTAGTTTTGCAATCATTGAAGAGTGTTTTTCATATAATTCTCAAAAGAAAATTGCTTGTGATGCAATGGTTAATGATTATTTTAAACAAGTATGAGAAATAGATGTTGAAAGTTTTGTAACTATCATTAAAGAGAACTTTCATAAAATTCTCCAACGGGAATTGCTTGTGATGCAATCGTTGTTTGTTTTTCTAAACGCTTATTAGAAATGATTGTTCAAAGGAATTGATTTCGTAACAGTCATTACAGTTATTTTAGTTTAATTAATTCTGTGATATTGCATTCATATTTTAATTTCTCTTCTGGTAACGTTATTTAATTAAATCTCTCGTGGTATCGTAATTTTTGTCTATTCTTTGTTCTGCGTTCAGCATTCAATAACTAAACTTTAGTTTTAAACAACTAAACGTAAGCATACTATTTTTTATACTTTATCTCAAAAGGAAATTGCCGGAAAAAAATTCTAAAACTAACTACCGGCAAAATTATTATTAGATTTAATACCGAGCGGATAAAGTTATGGCATATAAGCATGGAGTTCTAAGTTAAAGTCTTTCATGGGAATTAAACTTTTTAAATTTTTTTCAACTAAAATTCAGTTAAAAAAAAAAGTTTAGTTTAACAAAAAGTTTTTTTTTCACGTTTTTACGTTATAACTATTATTGTTTATTAACTATTAGGATTTAAAAAAAATATATATAATTGGTGGGGCAATAATTCATAAACCATAAAGCACAGTATGCTAAATTGATTGCCAGGCTGTATGTCGGCCCACTCTGAATTTTTTTTTTGTTTCAAATAAAGATACCAACTAACTAATTGGTAAAAAAAATTAAGTTCACGCCTCTCAAAGGGTTTTTTTTTTAGTGATAATATTTCTGAAATTATTTAACTTTTTTGACAATTTTTAGAGGTAAAATTTACAGTAAATACAGTAATTAAAACTTAATTTTGCCTCAGTCCTCAAGTGAGTTCGAAGCGTCCCGGCTCTGTTGTTTTTAATAAAAATAATACAAATTTATAATAAAAAAAATAAAACCATTTTATTTGTTATTAAACTCTATTTGACATTTTCAGGAGAATCTGGTCTGTAAAAAAACTTGTGGAAATAAGCTTGCAACAAAGCAAGCAAATACTATTGGCTTGCGAAAGCATATTCAAACACAACATAGGAAGTTATTCATCGAACTTCAAAAAAAACAAGATGAGCAGAGATCACAAGGAGATGAAGAACTAAACGTAATTGAGGCAGGTGTTTTTGGATTCGCAAAATATGTAACCTTAAAAATTTTCACTCTCCCAAAGAAGGCGGTTACAAAAAAGTGACCACTTCAAGATCAGCGTCAATTAGTAATTGATCATGACATCATTACTTTGATTGCTACTGAGTGTTTGCTGTTCAGTTTTGCTAATTCTGAAAATTTAAAGAGGTTTATAAACAAAATATTACCAAATACCACAATAAAACATTCAACGACTTTCTCAAAAAATAAACTCCCTCTGCTTTACCATACACTGAAGATAGTAATGCATCAAGTTATGGAAAAAGAGCTCATAGATCTTAATCAGGTTTCAATAACCACCGACCACTGGACATCAAGGGCAATATGCTGCATGCCATGCTTCGACTAAAAGTTCCACTCATACACTTACGCGATAGAGAAGGTGATGATTGGAAGAAAACCGTACCTGTTCCTACTATTTAAAGCTATTGCTTCAGTGCTTAAATCTGTTAAAGAATTATCAGTTTTTTTATCTTCCGACACAGAGATCCGAATTGACATGTCACTGTGGAAAGTAACACCACTCATCAACTTCATCGCGAAAGAAAGAATTTAATTTACCAGCATTTGCACTTGGGCATCACATTCATCCATTTTTTCGTAGACATCTTCTTGATGTTGACAATGAAAATATTCAAAATCTGGTTGAAAACCATCCCACAACCAAAGAATACTTTGAGAATTCTTCATTGTCTGTCTCAAGTTCCAGTAATAACAACAGTAGTAACTATTCCGTTGCTAATAATGCCCAAGGTTGCGAGGAAAATGAATACAATATTATTTTAGCAAAGTATAAGGAAGATACTAATTCACATCATAAACACAAAAACCCTCCTATTAAACTAAAAATGGAAAAATATTAAAAAACAATTACATCCAAAAATGCAGGTAAAATTGACACCTGAGCATGGTGGAAGAAGCATGCAGTGCAACTTTCTATCCTTTCGGGTGTTGCAAGATCTTGGTTGGCTACTCCACCAACCTCTGCATCATCTGAAAAAGAATTTTCCGCATCTGGCTTTGTCATCACTGATCGTAGATAAAATCTCGACAATGACAAGGCAGATAAGCTTGTATTTATAATGCAGAACTATTCCGCTCTTGAAAATTACATCAAAAAATGGCCCATCGAACAAGAAAATGAGAGTGAAAGTGATATAGAACATGAATCAGACTTATCAGTGCCAATATTAATAGAAGAAAATCCTAAAATGCCAAAGAAAGTACGGCAAAGGAAAAAGCAACGAATGGACATTAGCCAAAGTATTGCAGAATATTAAAAAACAATAATTAAATCTCTAAAAAGCAGTTGTACTTATATTTTGTTAATAAAAAGTTCAATAAGTCACATTTTAATTTTTTGCTTTTTTGTTTTATTGAGAGACTCGATTCAAGACCATGCGATACTATACGATTCTTTTTATTATCGGTATCTATTGATATCGAAGCGATACTGATAGTATCGACATCGGAACATAAGCAATACGACACGATACGAGACCATCCTTCTCGGTATTGAGTGGTATTGAACCGATACTGATAGTATCGACATTAGTATATAATCGATTCCATGCTATACAAGACCATTCCTCTCGGTATCGACTTATACGATACCGATTATATAGCGTCTATTAACAACATCAGTTAAATCAGTTACATCTTCTGACTGAACAAATGATAAACTTTCATGAGTATTATCTTGGAAGTTACAAGCATTTTGAGATTTAGAAAATAATGCAACTGTTTCAATTTGATTTTCTTTTTTTGAAAAGTATTTACTTATCATCTTCATTGTGCAAGTTGTACAACTTATGACTTAAAAGTCAATGTACTGTTAAACGATTAAAAAATTTCTTTAAAAATTTACGTTTTTTTTAATTCAAATGATTTTAAATTCAAAACTTATAAATACTTAATACAAATAATACTGCTGAAATTATCAAAGAAAAAAAATACAAAGCGAACGTTTAACTCACTCAACTCTTTAGTATACGTAGTTCCGTTAATTAGTTTTTTGTTACATATTTACCGTTCTCAAACTCCCTTGAGACTCATCAGAAGCGTGGAATTTCTGAAATTCAAAAAATAACTTTTGAAAATCCCCATTTATATTTGCGGAAATATTAAAATCGTTTTTAAATTGTTATATTTGTTAGTATTTAAGTATATTAAGGTTATTGTTTTATCGAATATTTTTTCAGCGGCGAATTTCCCGATGGGGCTCGAGCCCCTAAGCCTCAGCGCGTTTTGCACCAATAATTCTAAGTCAATGTTTACATTAAAAGCTTGACATATTTTATAAAGTTGTGCAGGTTCACCGGGTTGTTACGCAGTTTTCAAAAAACAATGAAAATGGTCCATGTTCCCTGACTATGCATTCTTATGATTATGAGTAAAGTAATTTGTTTGTATCCCTTATAAGAACGGTTTTTTAATGATTTTTGTAAATTTTACTCATGATGAATTATTTAGTTCGAAAGATGTTTAACATGTATTTTAAAAGTGTTGTTAATTTTATCTTTATCACATATATATATATATATATATATATATATATATATATATATATATATATATATATATATATATATATATATATATATATATATATATATATATATATATATATATATATATAAATATATATATATATATATATATATATATATATATATATATATATATATATATATATATATATATATATATATATATATATATATATATATATATATATATAAATTGTAGTGATTATTATATTTTAATAATTTATATCAATATATATATCAATATATAATAACTATTATTATATATTGATTTATAGCAGCAGGAGTAGCCAAGAGTTGCCAGGAACATTACAATAATGGTTTTAATAAAACTGGAGTTTATCAAATCAGTCCTAATGGTTCAAAATTTGAGGTTCTATGTGATATGGAAAAAATTGAACAACAAAATCCTAAAGGTGATTTTACTTTTTATTAACGACTCTTTATTCAGCTTTATGCAAGACTTTATAAAAAATATATAAATATATGATTTATGGCAAAGAAAATCAAGAAAAAAATAGATACATAAAGAAGGAGTTAGGATTGTCAAAAAAATGTTGCATAAAAAATGAAACTTTGGTAACTTAAAATACAAGTTTGTCTAATTAAAATATTTAACTGTTCTAATACCTTAATGGAGAGTTTAAGAAAGCCCTAGAAGATTTCTATTTGTGGTTTGTGAAATAAATAATGTAATTGAATGTTTTATTTTAGTAACAAACCCAATTTGCTATGCATTACCATTAAATCTACAGTTATCGTTTAATAATTCAGTATCGTATTGTGTTATAACATGTGCAAGATATCATTGGGTTAATATTATGTTTTTTTCTAAACATTATGAATGCTTCTGCGGACGATATTTAGGAAATAGTAACAATTACATTGATCCTGACTTAGAACCTTCTAGTACTCGATCAGATTACTGTTTTATTGGTGAGCTTTTTTAAATATAATGAAATTTCCTTTTTTTTAGTTTTTATATGGGAAGTATATGCAAAGTTAGTTTAATGAAACTAAAAGTTTATTTATTATCAAAGATTATTAATTATTATTAATATAATAATATTTTAATTGAATTTAATAAATTGTAATAAATTTACCTTTTAAAAGGTGACTTAGTTGAAAGTTGGAATCATTTAGATAATGAAATTTTTAAATGTTTAGATTATGAAAAATCTATATTATTGATGTGGCCATCAAAAATTGTTTAAAAAAAAACCTAATTTTTTTTTTTACAAGAAACAGCTTTTAAAATCTAACATCTACAGTTGTTCGCTCCTTTCCAATCTCCTTCAATCTCAAAACAGTTGTTCGCTCCTTCCCTAAGTCTTTCAAGAATACAACTTCAACTATATTATCATATTATTAACATTACTCAAAATATTGGAAAAAGCACTTTTAAATGCTATTTTTTAAACTAGTTAAATATTACATTTTTTCGATTTACAATTAATTCATTAACAATATTACTAGTTTGAATATATCTCAATGTTGAACCCAGTAAAACTCAATAATTGCTTTAAATTTACATTGAAAAGAAATTTTTTGCAGACTAAAGTCATATAATAAACAAAAATTAGGATTTTAAATGTAACATTTTTAAAGTTTTTTTTTTATAGTTAGCGTACTCCAGACTTATATTTTACGTGGGAGTCTTAGTTGCCATGAAGTTCTCAAGGGGATAAGAATTTTACAGAGAACTTACATCTAAAAATTAATTTATATACACAAGTTCAACGTTTAAAATACAATTTAAAACTATAGTAAATTTTAATTTTTTTATTTTAATTTTCTTTTCACATCAAGTATAGTGAGTTTTTATATTCATAAAATGTTTTAAAATTAGTAAACAATCCATTCTATCATTTAGCAGTAATGACTTCAAAACCTTCCTTCTTATATATATATATATATATATATATATATATATATATATATATATATATATATATATATATATATATATATATATATATATATATATATATATATATATATATATATATATATATATATATATATATATATATATATATATATATATACATATATATATATATATACATATATATATATATACATATATATATATATACATATATATATATATATATAGATATATATATATATATATATATATATATATATATATATATATATAAATATATATATATAAACATATATATATATATATATATATATATATATATATATATATATATATATATATATATATATATATATATATATATATATATATATATATATATATATATATATATATATATATATGTATATATATATATATGTATATATATATATGTATATATATATATATATATATATATATAAATATATATATATAAACATATATATATATATATATATTATATATATATATATATATATATATATATATATATATATATATATATATATATATATATATATGTATATATATATATATATATATATATATATATATATATATATATATATATATATGTATATATATATATATATATATATATATATATACATATATATATATATACATTTATGTGTGTGTATGTATATATGTAGTGTGTATACATATATGTTTTTAGGTGTATGTATGCGCAAAACATATGTATGACATATATGTATGTATCTATGTATGTTTGTATGTATGTAGGTATGTATGTATCTATGTATGTTTGAATGTATGCGTGTATCTATGAATGTATTTATTTATGTATGCATGTGTTCGTATATTAGTATAGTTATAATTAAATATACCATTGTTATTACTATCATTGATATTATTGCTATTACCTTTATTTCGATTGACATCATTATTTTTAATAATACCATTATTTTTATTAATAGCATTATTTTTAATCGTACCATTTTTTTTATTGTTATTAATATCACTTTTATTATTATAGTTATTAATAATTTTGCTACTATTGTTAATTTATGATTTTTAGAGTTGTTACAATTTATTATTAGTATCATTATTTTTTAGTGTTTACGCATCATTAGTAATTATACTATTTGTAAACATCTTTGAGTTGTAAAATCATATAATTCAGGATATATTGATTGAAAAAAATAAGAATTTTAGTAAATGAAAAAGCTACATTTTTAATCACGCATTTTATACACACACTGCGTCCTAAAAGTTTAGAAAATAGTTAAATAAAATCGACTAACTCCTATATTGTTGTTTTTAATCATAAATATAGTAATACATACATATAAAAACACTTAAAAACTATCAAATGCACAAACTGCCACCATATGGTATTTATATGCAAATTTGTCGTTTTATACAAAAACACTCTCAAAACTGCATTTTTCATGTCTCTCAAATCCTAACTTGATTAAAATTTCTCTTATAACTTAATCTTGTAATTCTATTTTTATTTAATACAAAATACTGCTATAAATTGATTTAAAAACAAATAATATAAAGTATTATAATGTTACAACATATATAGTTCACAGAAGACTGGGAAGTACAACCAAATTTAGATTTACTCCCTAGCATTATTTACCAAAAATCGCTCCTAAATGTATATTTTGATTTTATTGTTGAAAATTGTAGAGAAAATATAAGGGGGGTGGGGTAATGTATTTATTAAATTTGTATTATATTCTTTCTAATATACTAAAAAAGTATAAAAATATTACTTAAGAAGATGTCTGGTTCAGACAAAGCAACACGCTCAACTATAAATATTTGGCTAGTTGGACCAAAACTATAAATTTTTGGCTAGTTGAAGAAAAAAGGCGCTTTGAGCAATATAAAGAAAGTACAGTTATATCTAGAGAGACATTAATGGATTATAGTTCAGATTTCTTTTTGGATGAAAATTTTGACTGTAATATGTCAATTCAAACACAAAAAGTCCTTATAGTTCAAAAAATACTACTATTGGCACTAGTCACTCTCAATAGCAATACCCAAATGTTGTGTTCTAGACAATCAACTCTTTCATGCAGCATTAGACCAAACAAAAATAACACCACAACAAGCATTATGGTTGTCACACCAGCGCTAGCTGCAATCGGTATTGATGTAAATAAACTAGTTCCACTAATTGCTCATTTTAATAGTAAAATGTTGTCGAATGTTGGTAGAACCAGATGTGAATGTCTGCCAATTGTTGTAATTGGCTAGGATATTGAGAAATTACTAGGGATCCCTGAGATACCTGCTGGTACTAACGCTCTAATGGAACAAAAGGTATTTAAATTCTTTCAAGAATGGCCTGGTGTTGAGGAGCATCTTGCGGGTCTTTGCTTTGACAAAACTGCAAGTAATACAGGAAGTCGTAATAGAGCAATAATTGCCATACAGAAATCAATGAATCAAAAAGTTTTGTTTTCAGCCTGTTGACATCATATTCTTAAAATTTGTGCAAATGCAGTGTTTGATGCGTTTTTTGTATCAAAAGGACCAAACATTGAACCTTTTAGTGAAAACTTTTAGAGTGAAGTCCCAGTGAGAACTAATAGAAAAATCAAAGTTTGAACCACTTAAAAGTGATAAAAGCGGAGCTACAAAGTTTTAAAAAGTGTGGTATCTCGAAAATCCAATGTGGTAGAAATTTTGAAAAATACTTGAAGGAAATGCACCCAAGAATTCGGACGACTAGCTCTTCTCCTTTTGGCAGAAAATAATGATACCACAACTATTTAGATTCCTGGGGCTTACCATTGTGCAAGATGCATGGCTAAAGCTATAATCTGTTTAAACAATTTCGGTTTTCGTCATCAGTTAAATATCACAAAGAAAGAAATTGGGATTTTTAAGAAGAATATGTCTCTTAATAACCACAATATATGCATTTTTCTGGTTTTCAACACCTCTCACAATAGAAGCATCAAAAAATCATCTCTTTCTTTTAAAATGAATCGAGAACTATTGTCTAGTTGACATCAAAGTTGCAAATGTTGCAAAAAATTAAATTAAACTTCAGTTATAGTATTTAAGTGAAGATCTACTCTCCCATTATTCAGTGATAAGGTTTCTGTTGAAGAGAAAATGGAAATTGTAAATGCCTTACAAAAAAAACCATTACCAGGTCACAATAGAAGACTTGCTCCAAACAAAATTTATATTTATTTTTTTATTTATTTTATTTTTATTTATTTCAGTTTTAATGCTATATTTTTCTATGTTTACAATGTTCTTATATCCGAAGATATTGTTGGCTTAGCATAGGAACAGCCACAAATAGTCATTAAGACTATTCCAAAGTAGCGTCCGTTCTTGACCAATGTTTTTGTGTACCGAAGTACTACTCAAGCGCTGAGTTGGCGGTGGCGGGATTTAAACTCGTATCGTTCAACAGTCCAGGTTTCAACTTTTCCTTTGACGCTCTAATCATCTGAGCTATCCCGCCACGTTAGTTTTCTAAACCTTCTATAGCTAACTTTGTTACACGACACTCAATAAATTTGTTTGACTCTCTCAATCAACCAAAAGAGTTCTTGACATCGTTTCCTAAAACTTGGGCTAATTGTGATGATTACAACTCTGCTTGTAAAATAGTTTTTGCCATAAAATTGGTTAATGACTGTGCAGAACGGGCAGTTAAATTAGCCACTGACTTTAATGAATTTTTGACAAAAAACGACAACCAACATCAGCTTCTCTACCAAGTAGTTAAGTATCATAGAAAACATTTTTTTAAATGAAGCTACAAAGAAACAGTTAATTTCAAATACCGTAAAACGGTGTTACTTTAAACGTTTTTGAGATATTTTTACTTGCTCTTCCTTCACTATTGACAATATTTGAAATTTAACAAAATGAATATAGGGGCTAAGATTGACTCTTACATAATTCAAATTCAAAATAATATTTAAATAAAAGGATTTTGCATAATATTGATTTAAATAGTCATTCAAAGTTACCCCACCAATAGGGTAACTTTGAATGC